AAACAAATAGGTCAAGTCTCTTGCTTCCCTCACTGGCATAACCAAGACTAGTCAGTTAGCCATTCACTCATTTGTGCTCTCTCTGGCCACTGACTTGAACAGCAGCATAACTAGGGTGGAACAACCAGGGCAAGCAGCCTAGGCGTTGGCTGTGGGAAAGAAGGGAGGAGGGAGAAAAGCTGGCAGCTGGAAGCAGCTACTGCCTCCATGTATCACAGATGACCCAGGAGCCTGACTGTGGTGTTAGACAGATGTATTAGAATTCTTTCTTCCCAACAGCACTATCGCAATGGGACAGCTGAACGATATCCCACATCTTGAGAAATGTGGTCCATCCTGGATTTGAGCTCCTCGACTAGAGGAAGGAGCTGATTCTGGGTTCCCACCTCCTAGATGAGGATTTCTAGTATGCTCTGAGAATGCCTACTTGATCAAAGGGTGATGGCTAGATAAATATCTCATGCTGGGGTTTAGGCAGAAGCTAGGAACCTGCTTGCTCAGAAGCATCAGGCTTGGACATCCAGAACATTGGGCACCTGAGCATATTAGTACTGAGAGCTTATCCAGAATTAGACAGCAACCAAGCCAGACTTGGAGACACTTAATTCTGCCTTAGGTGTATTCCATATTAAAAGTTTTCCTGGTAGAACTTTGAGTGTGGGGATGAAACACACTTCCTGCCATCAGAATCATGCAACTCAGCAAAGGGGAGAAAGGCTACTGTCATTGCTCAGCAGCAGGCTGAAGGCACAACTACACAGTCTGGTCCTATCAACTGGCTGCGGTGGTCCATTCGGCATGCTCTAGTGGTTCAGCTGCTGAATGGAGCTGTGCAGACCTGCCAGTGGCACATCGTAGTGCACATACTCTGGCAGTTTGGCAGCAGAAGCATCTGAGTGGAGACACAGATCATGTCTATTTGATGTACATGGTCCCTTTTTGGATTTGTGCCTCCAAAGTTCCACATTCTACAGCGGGTCTTACTATTGACACACAACTCACTTAGCTCCAACCTCGTACAGGTAGATTTTGAAAGCTATGCTTTGCAACATTATCAGGAAGGAGAGAAAAGCCACATTCATTAGTCTTCTTCGTTTGCATTTAGCAGGCACTGCAAACATTAGTAACTGGGAGGTTCATTATATTAAACAGAAGTCTACATTTGATTCCTACGCTGTTCTCCCTGGAATCCTTCACTGATGTCACGCACAAACAGCACTTGAGGCTTCATGTTTTGCAGGATAACATGTTTACAAATCATCTTTTCCTTGCTCTCTAAAACTTCAATAAGAGTTCATTAAAACTGACAAGCAGGTCTACTGAACTAGCAAAGAGAGAAAATGTGTAGGCTGTAAGAAGAAGAGCTCTCCTCAGAATTTAGGTTTAATTCCTAATTGTTTCTGTTTCCTTCGCCAGCCCCACTCTTAGTAGTCATAAGTTTCTCTCCATCACCCTGTAGGTTTTTTTTCTGTGATGTCCCAAAAGGAAAGCAAAAATCAACCAGACATAAAAAACATTCCTCTCTTTTTAGCAAAGGCACCCTCTATTATGAAGAAAACCCCATCATTACAGCCCACAGCCACAGAAGCATAAACTAGCTCAACAGTCCTTTGCTATTCAAATTATCCCATGGGGAATCAATCTCTCTCTCTCTCTACCCCCCCCCCCCAAGCCTGATGTTTTCTTTTGATTTTAGGTATACATCTCAGGCTAGGCCAAACGAATTGGGAATTAAATGGGGCTCCTGCATGCAGTAGCAACAGCACCTCAGGGTAACTGACTCTCCCTAAAGCCCACCACACCAGCACTGGTAGTAGTAGTGGGGATATTTCATAGATTTCATAGACATAAGGGGCTGGAAGGGACCTTGCGAGATCATGGAGTCCAGCCCCCTGCCATACACAGGAAGTCTGCTGGGGTCAAATGATCCCAGCAAGATATGCATCCAAGCACCTTTTGAATGAGTCCAGAGTAGGTGCTTGCACCACCTCTGGGGGAGTCTGTTCCAGACCCTGGACACTTGGACTATAAAGAAGTTTTTCCTTATGTCCGGTCTAAATCAGCCTTCCAGAAGTTTGTGCCCATTTAATTGAAGAATGTGCTCTTCTCTCCTTGACATTACAATAGAGACAGGAACAGCGGACTGTTCCTACACAATAAACATTAAGTTGCCACCATGAAGTGAGATTCTCAAAAGTCCAGTTAGAGGTACTTTTAAAGTGAATTCAGTTAGCTTTCTCCTCTGAAATGCTTTTTTCCCATAAACAGTGTCCCCACCCACAAGGGCAAAGGGACTACTTGTTCTATGTGACAAGAAGAACAGAATGGGAATGGTCCTGCTTTGAGCAGGGGGTTGGACTAGATGACCTCCGGAGGTCCCTTCCAACCTTCATTTTCTGATTCTATGATTCCAATGAGGTCCTCAGTTTCAAAGTATGTTAATTCAAGTCCTGTCCACACACTTAGACCCTTCATTTAGTGCTGGTTATGCTTGTAAATGAAAATGCTTGGACTCCAGTTAGTATAATTCATTGGACACTAATCCAACCACGCTGCAAAATAACCCTTAAACTGAAGGGGTTGACTGCTCTTAACTGAGCAAGGTGAGCTCAGGAGTTAACTGTGTTGAAGATGTAGCCAGAGAAAAGATGCAGAATCACCAAACCCAGACTCCCAGACCCCCTCCACAGCGCTCTATGATTAAGGTCAACCTTCACAGTGGACTACTGCTTCACAACCAAACCAAGCTACTAAATATTACTGACCACAAAAATACAAAACAGCAGTGCTATAGTGTACAGGGTATGTGTAAGGAGGATCCATTCAGGGGAACTTTGCTTGCTTGTTGGGGCTGGAGAATCACAAAGACTCCAGGTATTCTGAGAGTCATATTAGGAATAAAGTCACAGGAAGTGTTTGAAGGAGGTTACCGCTGCGAGGAGACTGTGTGGCACTTTTTAAGCAGAATCCATCAAGAGAGGCAGACTGCTCTGTTCGGAAGCACTGTTCTTTTAGTTGTTGGTGGAGAGAGACTGTCTAAAAATTTATATTCGTGTCTTAGGTAGAAAGGGAAATAAAAACTTTGAGAAACAGAAGTGAGTAGCCAGGGACTGTCAAGAGAACAAACTTTGAAGACAGCTTTGTGGGAGCAGATTCCTAGGGTTTTCACACAGGTAGGGTAGTTACAGGACCTAATGGCTGAAGGACAAGGGATTTGTAATCCAGGCTTTCTTGATGCTATTAATATTAAGGCTAACGATTGTGGCAATTATTACCAAGAAAAAAACCCTGGTTAAGAATTGAAAGGTACCTGAGGAGAATTAAGGGAAGCCCAGAAGAGGAACTGAGAGACTGTTTTGTTCCAGGAATGTATGCATGTGTGCTCTGATTTACTTCCACAAAATGCCATGTTAAAACAAAAATTGCTTGTCTTTCTGTTTTACCTGCGCTTACAAGCACAGTGCAAGGCAACCTCACCTGTGCAGGGTTGAACTGGGAATTGATCTCAGTGGCCTTCACCACATGCCTTCTAGACAAAAGCACATTTCAAAATGACCACACGGCCCCTTCCATGGGATAAGTCTGTCCGGAACTTCCCAAGCTTATTTTGCTCTGTTACTGCATTGCTTCCTCATGGTCAAAACAAACATCTTCCCCCCCCCCCCACCTCCCCCCCAACCCTGACCTAGAAGAAGTTTCCTCTTCTGTTTCAGGCCCAGATCAATTGTCAGCCTTTCAGTGAAACCTGCAGGGAACCAAATATCCATGTCTCTCTGCTCTAATACCTTATCCTTGAGGAAAACAAGCTGGAAGTCAGCTTGTTCCTGTTATGCTCTGAAAAATCCCATTTACAGGCCTTACTTCCCGGCAGGAATAGTGGGATTTCTGCCCCACGCTCCCCCCTCCTGCCAAAACAAACTTTAAAGACCTGTAGCATATATGAGCTCTCCCAATCTGGGGGACCAGCTGGCATGTACATAGCCAAGAGACAACAGGCTTCTAGCAAAAAGTCTTATTGAGGCTGACTTTTCCTTAGAACAAGGAAAGGATTCCTTGCTTCTCTGCTGAAGGAGCTATGGATGAAGAAACACAGTGGGGTCAAATCCCACTTACACTAGACTCGGACTCAAAGATGTGCCGCAACCACAACATTTCCCCTTCCTTCCCCCACCCCCACCCCATGGCCAAGGGCTGAGCTACAACCTTGAGCCGGAGAGTCCGGGAAGGAAAAGTCAAATGCCAGCTTGACTAGACAATCAGGACTCCTCGTAGAGATGATCTCTTTTATTAGATCAACAAGATTTTTGCAAAAAAAAGAAAATAAATTATTTAATTGCAAGCTTTTGGGCATAAACAAGCTTTTGGACACAAACACCCTTCACTGACATTTGCGCCCAAAAGCTTGCAATTAAAGAATTCAGGCATAAACACCCTTCACTGGCATTTGTGCCCAAAAGCTTGCAATTAAGTAATTCTGGCACAAACGCCCGTCACCAGTGTTTGCGCCCGAAAGCTTGCAATGAAAGAATTCAGGCACAAACACCCTTCACCAGCATTTGTGCCCGAAAGCTTGCAATTAAGGAATTCTGGCACAAACGCGTTTGCACCCAAAAGCTTGCAATGAAAGAATTCGGGCACAAACACCCTTCACCGGCATTTGTGCCCGAAAGCTTGCAACGAAAGAATTTTTTGTGTGCGCGCAAAAATCTTGTCAGTCTAATAAAAGTGATCATCTCTACTACCAGTCCTGATTGCCTTTGCCTCTCTAGACCAAGACGGCTACAACCTGGATCCCCGACAGCTTGACTAGAGGCAGGCGCCAGGAGCCCCGCAGAAACACCTGCTGGCATGCTGGTAGCTCGGACAGCTCCTCAGGCGGGGGTTGGAGGCTGGTACCACCCTTACGCCGCTGGAGCAGGATAAGGATCCTGACTGCTGCCCCTGGCCGGGAGCGGCGGGAGCCCCGGCCCCGGCCCCGGCCGAGCGCGGCGCGCACTCACCGCGGAGAAGTTCTGGGGCCCGCACAGCTCGCCGCGGTACTTGCAGGAGAGCAGCATGTCGTCCAGCTGGTGGCCCAGGCGGTCCATGAACTGGGCGCTGATACCCTCGTAGTGGCGGGGCGGCAGGAAGAGGCGGAAATCCGCGAGGGGAGCGGCGGGAGCCCCGGCCCCGGCCCCGGCCGAGCGCGGCGCGCACTCACCGCGGAGAAGTTCTGGGGCCCGCACAGCTCGCCGCGGTACTTGCAGGAGAGCAGCATGTCGTCCAGCTGGTGGCCCAGGCGGTCCATGAACTGGGCGCTGATACCCTCGTAGTGGCGGGGCGGCAGGAAGAGGCGGAAATCCGCGAGCTTGGCGAACCACCGGAGGCGCGACTCGTCGCCGCGGAGCAGCTCGGCCAGCAGCGGGCGGGCCGTGTGGTTGGGCAGCAGCAGCCCCA